TCCCTGTACACGCCATCCCTCCCTGTATATGCCATCCGGCTATCTCAACTGGATCCATCCATCTGACCATCCATCCATCCATCCATCCTTCCATCCATGTATACACCATCCCTCCCTGTACACGCCATCAGGCTGTCTCAACTGGATCCATCCATCTGTCAATCCCTCCATCCATCCCTGTACATGTCATCCATCTATCTCAACTGGATCTATCCATCCATCCCTGTACACACCAGCCATCTATCTTGACTGGATCCATCCCTTCATCCATCTCTGTCTGCACCATCTAGCTATCTCAACTGAATTGATTCCATCCATCCATCCATCCATCCATCCATCCATCCATCCATCCATCTTTTTCTTTCTTTCTTTCTTTCTTTCTCTCTCTCTCTCTCTCTCTCTCTCTCTCTCTCTCTCTCTCTCTCTCTCTCGGGATCTCTGCTGTTCTGGACTTGGGTCTATATGGTTAAGGTGTCACAATACATTTACCATAGGCTGGTTGTTTGGTGGAATTGGGGCATGGCCCTTTCCCCACTCTGGGGCGTCGGCTCCGATCTGGCCCCAGGGCGGAGGACTGGCTGGCTCAGGGGTGGGGAAATGGATATGGGGCCTTTCCCCTCCAGGGGGGTGCTGACTTCCACACCGGTTCATGTCCCTTCCGTTCTGCCCCCCTCCCAGATCAAGGACCAAGAGGCAGAATCCCGGTACTGCAAGCTGGTTCGGCAGCTGCTGGATGACCACAAGGACGTGGTGACGCTGCTGGCTGAGGGGCTGCGGGAGTGTCGCAAGCACATCCAGGTACCGGGGGGGCTGGGATTGTGAGAAGGGTTAAAGCAGGGGGGCTGGGAGCCAGGACACCTGGGTTCTCTCCCCGGCTCTGGGAAGGGAGTGGGGTCTAGTGGGTTAGAGTCGGGAGGCTGGGAGCCAGGACTCCTGGGTTCCATTCCCAGCTCTGCTACGTGCTCTATGGGTGAGCTTGGTTAAGTCACGTCCCCTATTTGTGTGTCCTTTTCCCCATCCATAAATGAGACTGATACCATCCTTTGTAAAGTGAGATTTGCTGATGACAAGCACTACCTGAGCACTTGGAATGACTATAACACGCACTGTCACTGCTTAGTTACTGCTTAGTCATTATTATTTAGAAGGATCATTTTTGCTAGTACCTTTTACGTCTATTATTATTGATGACTCATCATCATTTTAGTATTTTTGTCAATATTCCACCTACTTATGTCTAAATGATCATGTTCTGTGTTTGTAATTTCATATTTTACTTACTGGCAAATACATATTTTATTATCAATTATTAATTCCCCTTATGCTTGTATTATGATTTTGGATTAATAATAATGATTTCTGTATTTTCCCCACTATTATGCTAATTTCTCATCAATATTCATCTTTTACTCATCTTTTATTGATTCTTGTTGATTTTCTCTTGAATTGTATTAGCTCATTAAATCCCATTATACTGATTGCATTTATGATTCTTTTTCAATTGTCATTCAATATTTTAAGCCACTTGTCTATGTCTCGGCGGGGCGGAATTCCATTTTTATTTGTTTGCGGTTTCCGTGGAGAATATCAATGTTTATTTTTAAGCTTTTTAAAATTTGTATCCGTGTATTGTCTCTGGTTCCTGGTTATTGCTCATAAGTAACCCTTTCCGTCCAAGCCATACGGACGTACTTGGCTTTGGTTCTGTGTGTCGCTTCGATGTCAGTGCAGTACCAATTCCTTGTACTAGCGTTCTCCATTCATAGATCTCAAGGCGCTTTACAAAGGAGGCTGGTATCTTTATCCCCATTTTATAGATGGGCACACTGAGGCTCGAAGCGGGGACGTGACTTACCCAACATCACCCAGCAGGCCAGGTCCCCTGAGTGCTCTCCCGACTGGGCCTCACTGCCTCTTTGCTAAGCTGTTGTCTTGTTAACCCCTTCGCTGCCGTTCTCCTCCCGTGTCAGGACGAGAAGGTCATCCGCTATTTCCTAGACAAGACGCTCACCTCCCGGCTGGGGATCCGGATGCTGGCGATCCATCACCTGGCGCTGCACGAGGAAAAGGTACGGCCTGGCCTCGGCTCTCCCATTCCCCTCGGCTCCTTGCCGCCCTAGAAAGGGCAACACACGTGACACAGCTGGTTGCCCCCAACGGATTAGAGTTGGTCCCCTGGAAATTCATAATATATCATGGAACCGCCCCGCTTGGGTCTGGAGCCCTCCCTCTAGGGGGCGCTGGCTCTGCTCCGGTCCCAGGGCGTGGGACTGGCTGACTCAGGGGGGCGGGGAATGGACATGGGGCCTTTCCCCTCTAGGGGGCGCTGGCTCCTCTCTGGTCCCAGGGCGTGGGTCTGGCTGGCTCAGGGGGGCAGGGCATGAGACACGTGTTAAAGCCCTGCTTGATTGGTGCTCTCTCTCTGATTGGCAGCCGGACTTCGTGGGAATCATCTGCACCCGTCTCTCCCCAAAGAAAATCATTGAGAAATGGGTGGATTTTGCTAGGTAAGGAATCATGGTGCTCTGTGGTGCCACCTGGTGGACACAGCCTGGAGTTACACCCTTTAAATTTCATCCTGCTCTAATTTAAGTGTAGCGTGGAGGGAGAGGGGAGGAAATTTCTTCTTCCTCAAAGTATCGCTTCGCTGGATCTGCAGGTGGATTCATACGGGGTGGTTCCCCTCTCTGGTTCAGTTGGTGGCTTGCAGAGCTCCTGCTGTTCTTGGTTAACCACTAACCGGCTGAGATGTGTTTGGTGCTTGACAAGGAAAAATCATCCTGGATTTATGAATGGATTTTTTAAGGGTAGATGATTGGCTGCTGCGTGTATCTAGGGAACTCCCTGAGATATGGCTGGTGAGCTGGGGATGTAATGGAAGGGGAAATCTGTCCGTATAAACAAGAGTGGGGTCCAGTGGTTAGAGCAGCGGGGACTGGGAGCCAGGACTCCTGGGTTCTATCCCCAGCTCTGGGAGGAGAGTTGGGGCTAGTGGGTTAGAGCAGTGGGGGCTGGGAGCCAGGACTCCTGGGTTCTATCCCCAGCTCTGGGAGGGGAGTGGGGTCTGGTGGATTAGATCGGGGGAGTTGGAATCAGGATTGATCCAGTGCGGTGGGGAGGTTGAGTGACCGACCCAGCCTGGCTAATGCTCTGTTCCTCCCCCCTTCCCCGGGTGCAGGCGTCTGTGTGAGCACAAGTACGGGAATGCCCCGCGGGTGCGGATCAATGGGCACGTGGCTGCTCGCTTCCCCTTCATCCCCATGCCCCTCGACTACATCCTGCCGGAGCTGCTCAAGAACGCCATGAGGTGAGCTCCCCCGTCCACCCAGTGCATGGCAATGGGGCTGGCTCAGGGGGGCGGGGAATGGACATGGGGCCTTTCCCCTCTAGGGGGCGCTGGCTCTGATCCAGCCCCAGGGCGTGGGACTGGCTGGCTCAGGGGGGCGGGGAATGGACATGGGGCCTCTCCCTTCTAGGGAGCACTGGGCGGATAGGCAGGGCCTGATTTTAGGCTAAATTTTTCACTCTCCCCCTTCCCCAGAGCCACCATGGAATCTCACCTGGACACTCCGTACAACGTGCCCGACATTGTCATCACCATTGCCAACAACGACATCGACCTGATCATCAGGTACTGTGTGCCGGCCGTGAGAACAGCCGGCTTAGGCTGGAATCTCGCCCCCGGTGACGTCAGCGGGGGTCCCTCCGGGGTCGCTGAGGGAGGGGATGAAATTAAGCAAGGGGAAATGTTGACCGGGGATCGGATGGGGCGTCTCCGTGGGGGAATAGGTGATCCTGCCCCGGGTGGGGACCAGCTAGATGGGTGGAAGTGGGGTGAGCTGTGGTTTGTCGGCTGCACGGTACTGAGTGGACCCTGTTCCCCCCGATAGGATTTCGGACCGGGGTGGCGGGATCCCCCATGAGCACCTGGAGAAGGTGACGGATTATCACTTCACCACGGCGGAGTCCAGCGCCCAAGACCCCCGCATGAACACCCTCTTCGGGAACATGGTGGATATGGTCAACAGCGGCCAGTCGGGCCCGATGCACGGGTGAGTCTGGCGCTTTGAGCTGCAGCCACACCAGCTACGCAGTAACGTTCTCAGCATCCTCTGCCAACCGGGCATCCTGGACGGGTCCTCCGACGGGATCCGCCCAGCTGGGCGGGAACAGGTTTTCCCCATCCCGCCAATATTGCCGAGAGCGTGAGGAGATTCACCGTCCGCGAATCAAAATCTTGACAACATCCGCGTATTGAAAAGCCGATT